CAAATCTCCTCTACTAGCAGTAACCCTCCTCCCCAAAATTTCCCACCCTAGCACAAATCCCTCTAATCAGCACAAATCCCCCCCCCCCACCCCAAATCTCCCTTCCTAACAGAAATCCACTCCCCTAGTGCAAAGTCCCCCTCTAAATCACATGATCTAGCACAACCCCCCCAAAAAAAATCCTGACCATGCCCAGGGCAACCACCCCTCCTGCCCACCCCTTGGCCCAGCCCTGGTTTTCAGTAAATATTTGTAAAGTGGCCTTTAAATACTCCTTTGAAAGTATAAATCTCAGGTTCATTTAGTATACAGCTAGCCATACTCAAGCTGGCCACACATTATACAATCAGATTGTACAACCTTCTTTAGATTTACCAACAGCCACATGATGTGAAATCTGACGGTTCTGTTATTAGCGGACTTTTTTTTTTTAATTCTTTTGCTCTGATTAGGGTGAATTAGAATTTCCATTCAATTCTTGTTTTGGAGACACAACTTGAAGTGAGAAGAAACCTCTACGGCTCCTTTCACATTGGCGGCAATCTCTACCGCCCAGGGGCGGACTGACCATTTGGAAATTCGGGCACTGCCAGAGGGCCCGGGGTCAGTAGGGGGCCCCATGAGATGCCCCTGGTACCTTTTTCATAGGCTTTTTTTAGTTTGGGCAAGGACACAGGGGCCCCATGATCCCCTCTTGCCCGGGGCCCCATGAGTTGTCAGTCCGCCCCTGCTACCACCCTCTAAAAAACAATCCACACCCTCTAAAAAATGATCGCATTGTTTTATGCATTCAGGTCAGCTCAGAGGAAGTGACAAGGACACTGCATTTCTGGTGGGATCAACGGGTATTTTCTGTACTTGCTAAGATTGTTCTGAGCCTAAATGTAATGCAGACACCACATCTAAGGCCTGGGAAGCTGCAATGTATGACATTTCTGTCCTTGGGTTTAGTGTTAGTGACTCTGTCACTGTTTAAAAAAAAAAGTAAAAAACCTCCTGCCTGCAAAGAAAAGAATGAGTACTTGTCTGTCCTGATGTTTACATGGACAATTTTCACATTCTTGAAAAACATCAGCTTCTGACCAGTGGCGGACTGACCATTTGGAAACTCGGGCACTGCCTGAGGGCCCGGGGTCAGTAGGGGGCCCTATGAGATGTCCCTGGTACCTTTTTCATAGGCTCTTTTGAGTTTGAGCAAGAACACAGGGGCCCCATGATCCCCTATTGCCATGAGTTGTCAGTCCGCCCCTGCTTCTGACACTTCCTGCAGTGTCAAATGCCGGGTTCCCCTCAGCAATGTAAAGCTACCTCTCTGGCTGCCATATAAATTTGGAGGTGAGCGGTAAAAACGTAGACCAACCACATGCTTTCACCGCCAATTCTGCCAGTGGCTGAGTAGGAAAGCCTGTCTAGAGTTAGAGGGCTCTTTTCTATTTCAAATGCTGCTTTATGCATTGATATACCTCCTTAAACCCAGTCTGTCCAGACAGTGTGGTCACTTGCTGACCTGGCACCATCCACAGGCAGCTTAACTCTCCAATAAGACCCAGAAGTTGAATCCAATTATCAGAAAGCCAATAGATGTACACGTGCCAGCACACAGACATATTTCCAGTGACCACTGACCAGTGTGTACTCACACATGAGCAAATCTGCGTGCCTACTCATATGTCAAAGTGCACGTCTGCATGCATTGTCGCACGCTCATGCACGTCCAATCTCAGAGATTGTCTATTTAAAGACAGTGCTGATGTCTGGTAATTGCTGGATGTTCTTCAGCTTCACCATGACCTATGTTCCTGTGTTCCTGCTCTTGTTGTGTGATCTCCTGTTGCTGATGACCTTGCTCTGTGGATTTCTGGATTCTGACCTGCTGTTTCCCTGGTACTGACTTCAGCCTGCTGCTTGACCACACGTATTCTTGCTCCTCTATGCATGATCCTGGCCTGGCTACTGACCTCGTCCTTGCCGTCCATCCGTGCTGACCCTAACTTGCCTCTTAACCAGGTCTTTGATCCTGAAGGTTCCTGCACCTTCCTCTGACTGTACTCCTTCACAGCCTCTACACAGTGTTTCCAGGGTCTGTATTTTGGGTGTCATCCTGGAGACTCCCAACTACAGTCCTCTCTAGGTGTGTCTCCCCCACTGCTGGCTACTGTCTGGACACTACTGCTATCTGCTACCTGGCTACTGGCACCCATGCTACTTTGTACCATGAGCGTCTGTCTCCATACTCATGGGTTCTTGGACCAGAAACACAAAGGTAGCTCTCTCATCATTTCGGCCTCCAATTGCATTAGATATGTTTTTCCACTCTTTGGAAGTGTAAGAAGGCAATCACTTTCCTAAACCCTGTCTTTGTCAATAGCAAAGGGAATGTGAAAAAAGTGGGGAGGGTTTTGATTAAGACTAAACCAACTTGCACCAAACAGGAGGGGAGGACAGAAGAAGATACTAAAATCACATTAGTAAATAAATTGCAGTGGCTCAAAATCACCACTAGAGGTCCGCATACTACAGAAAAAAATGTCTCAGGACCTAGAACTTGTGCTGTGTCTGGCAATGTCTCTTCTTGCTGAGCCACTTGTGATGCTGGATAGCTCCCTTGACAATTCCTTGAATTATTTTGCCTTGAACCTTGTTTTTTCATGAACCTTGAACCTTTTGCTCTTTCCCATTTAAGCCATGCCTCTATACTTCCTGTTTTCCAGATTATTGTGCTCTCTCCAGCCAATATCTTGCTCTTGTCATTCTTGAGGCATCCGTATCTTCACTACTGTTCATTACCGACCTTTGGCTTGTTCCTTGACTACGCTTCTGTTTAATCCCAACCTGCAACCATTTGTTGCCGACCTTTGGCTTGTTCCTTGACTATGCTTCTGTTTAATCCCAACCTGCAACCATTTGTTATCAACCTTTGACTTGTTTACCGACTATACTACTGCTTAATCCCAACCTGCAACCACTTATTACCGACCTTTGACTTGTTTACCAGCTACGCTTCTGCTTAATCCCAACCTGCAACCATTTGTTACCGACCTTTGACTTGTTTACCGACTATGCTTCTGCTTAATCCCAACCTACAACCACTTATTACCAACCTTTGGCTTGTTCCTTGACTATGCTTCTGCTTAATCCCAACCTACAACCACTTATTACCAACCTTTGGCTTGTTCCTTGACTATGCTTCTACTTAATCCCAGCCTGCAACCATATATTGCCAACCTTTGGCTTGTTCCTTGACTATGCTTCTGCTTAATCCCAACCTACAACCACTTATTACCAACCTTTTGCTTGTTCCTTGACTACACTTCTGCTTAATCCCAACCTGCAACCATTTGTTACCAACCTTTGACTTGTTTACCGGCTATACTTCTGCTTAATCCCAACCTGCAACCACTTATTACCGACCTTTGGCTTGTTCCTTGACTACGCTTCTTCTTAATCTCAACCTGCAACCACTTATTACTGACCTTTGACTTACTGACTATGCTTCAGCTTGATCCCTACCTACTATATCTGCTACTGAACCCTGGCTTGCTCTACTGGACCTCTTGGTGGGACGATCCTGAGGAACACAACCTGGCACCAACAGCCAGCAAAACCCATCTCCACCATCAGGATCTCTGGTGAACATGGTTAGTACTTAGATTTCCCACCTCTGGTGAGCCCATGTCATCTGCCAGGGTGACCTGCTTCTGTACTTATCCAGCTGGTCGGTGGAAGCCTCTCTACTGCTATAGCTACTGGCAGGGCTGCCGTTAGAGACCACGGGGCCCCGTACAGTCAACCTGAAAGGGCCTTCCCAAATAAACACAGTTTACGGTGCTTCAGTTATGAATGAATGCAGTGAGTGATCGGTACTGATCACTCATTGTGTTCATTCAGGAAAGGTAGGGGCTGGTAACTGTGACATATTTACCGCACCCTTCCACCACTCTCAGTCCTGAAGAATCCTATTGTGTGCTTGCATCTGCCTGTGGGAAGAACAGGAGGGAAGTCGCCAGCACTGCGTGGGTGGGGGGGGGGGGCACGGGTGTCCAGGGGAAACTTATGGTGCACAGGGAGGGTGATTGGTGAGGTGGGAGAGAAGAAAATGCCAGTTTACAGCTGCTGCAGAGGGAGCCATACAGGGGATTGGTTCCAGTAATTGCCACCCGCCATGCCAATCACCCTCCCTGCCCACATCTGGTTCAGCCAACTGCCTGGGCCCCCTTGCTGGCCCACTACAGAAGGACAGGTGATACCCCCTTAATTCACAGCCCTGGCTATTGGCCTCTGAGCCTGGCTCCAGCCCATGACAAAATGATAATCTAGTTCAACACAAGACATAAAACATAAAAATGCATGAAAGGACGCTTCCACTCTGCCCCACTATGCTGCGTGGGTGCAGCGCTGCATTCTGCATCTTCTGCGCGCTTTCAGGTAACGCACCAAAAATGCAGAACATAATAGAAGTCTATGGGAAGCAATGAGTAACCTGCACAAAATCAGTGGCACAAACCTGCACCTGCACTGTGTTGCACCCATGCCAGAGCCGAACCGCAGCATCAGTGTGAATGAGTCCAAACTGGAGCAGAACAAGCTCCTATCAGATTCTGATTGCAATGCTATTGGTGTGACTCCATCAAAGTCAGACATCTGTAGAGAGACTGCTGCTTCCACATAGACACCAAGGATCAGGGGCGGACTGTCCATTTGGAAACTCGGGCACTGCCTGAGGGCCCGGGGTCAGTAGGGGGCCCCATGAGATGCCCCTGGTACCTTTTTCATAGGCTTTTTTGAGTTTGGGCAAGGACACAGGGGCCCCATGATCCCCTATTGCCTGGGGGCCCTACGATTTGTTAGTCCGCCCCTGCCAAGGGTCCATCTCTAAAGCATGGAGGCAGGGAACAGACTTTTTTACTCAGATTGTGGCTGCTTTCTCTATATCCGATCTCCCAAGACCCTGGAGACCGGAGACCGGATATAGTGAATGGGTCCGGGGGGGAGACCAGATATAGTGAGTGCAGAGTCCGGGGAGACCAGATATAGTGAATGCAGGGTCCTGGGAGACCAGATATAGTGAATGCAGGGTCCTGGGAGACCAGATATAGTGAATGCAGGGTCCGGGGAGACCAGATATAGTGAATGCAGGGTCTGGGAAGACCAGATATAGTGAATGCAGGGTCCGGGAAGACCAGATATAGTGAATGCAGGGTCCGGGGAGACTGAATATAGTGAATGCAGGGTCCGGGGTTTAGTAACACTTTAAGTGCTCGGTCAGTAAGTTCCAGTTCTTACCGAAAAGTATCTGCTTGGAATTCCTGCTGTAGAGTAAATTTAATAATATCCGCTATCACCATAACAGGCAGTGTGAGGTGGTCTGAGGGCCGCGCTGCTGACAGTCACGTAGTATTTCAAGATAAGAAAAATTCCATTGTGTACTACAGAACAATATACTAAATATATCTCCATAGCTGATTACAGACCACATTCCCATCATGTTCTCACCTAATCCATATTCTATTTAGGAAATGTCCTATACAAAAACCTCAGTCTATCACAAGGCCTCGTGTCCAACATTGCTGGAATTCACAAGGAAGAGAGAAACCTGTAATTATATTTATTGGGCGCATGGTAGGAGAACTCCATCCTACTGAGGACCATAAGAAATATTGCTCAGGTTGGTCCACTCTTGCCAGCAGATACTGTATATCCTATAGACGATGCTGGAGGATGTTCAACCATTGTTTGGACGATGCTGGAGGGTAGTCATCCATTGTTTGGATGATGCTGGAGGGTGATCATCCATTGTTTGGATGATACTGGAGGGTGATCATCCATTGTTTGGATGATGCTGGAGGGTGATCATCCATTGTTTGGACAATGCTGGAGGGTGGTCATCCATTGTTTGGACCATGCTGGAGGGTGGTCATCCATTGTTTGGATGATGCTAGAGGGTGATCATCCATTGTTTGTTTGATGCTGGAGGGTGGTCATTCATTGTTTGGACCATGCTGGAGGGTGGTCATCCATTGTTTGAACCATGCTGGAGGGTGATCATCCATTGTTTGGACAATGCTGGAGGGTGGTCATCCATTGTTTGGATCACGCTGGAGGGTGATCATCCATTGTTTGGATGATGCTTGGAGGGTGATCATCTATTGTTTAGACAATGCTGGAGGGTGGTCATCCATTGTTTGGACCATGCTGGAGGGTGATCATCCATTGTTTGGACAATGCTGGAGGGTGGTCATCCATTGTTTGGACCAAGCTGGAGGATGATCATCCATTGTTTGGATGATGCTGGAGGGTGATCATCCATTGTTTGGACAATGCTGGAGGGTGGTCATCCATTGTTTGGACCATGCTGGAGGGAAGTTATCCATTGGAAGTTATCCATTGTTTGGATGATGCTGGAGGGTGGTCATCCATTGTTTGGACAATGCTGGAGGGTGATCATCCATTGTTAGTACGATGCTGGAGGGTGGTCATCCATTGTTTGGATGATGCTGGAGGGTGGTCATCCACTGTTTGTACGATGCTGGAGGGTGGTCATCCATTGTTTGGATGATGCTGGAGGGTGGTCATTCATTGTTTGGATGATGCTGGAGGGTGATCATCCATTGTTTGGACCATGCTGGAGGGTGGTCAACCATTGTTTGGATGATGCTGGAGGGTGGTCATCCATTGTTTGGATGATGCTAGAGGGTGGTCATCCATTGTTTGGATGATGCTGGAGGGTGGTCATCCATTTATTGGATGATGCTGGAGGGTGGTCATCCATTGTTTGGACAATGCTTGAGGGTGGTCATCCATTGTTTGGACAATGCTGGAGGGTGATCATCCATTGTTTGGACGATCATCCATTGTTTGTACGATGCTGGAGGGTGGTCATCCATTGTTTGGATGATGCTGGAGGGTGGTCATCCATTGTTTGGATGATGCTGGAGGGTGGTCATCCATTGTTTGGACGATGCTGGAGGGTGGTCATCCATTGTTTGGACAATGCTGGAGGGTGATAATCCATTGTTTGGACAATGCTGGAGGGTGTTCAACCATTGGGGTCAGTAGTAAATAACACACAGAATCCAGAGTCATTGTAAGGTATGCAGAGAGTGCAGGGGACAGGGGTAACACACAGAGTCCAGGATCATTGTAAGTGATACACTGAGTGCAGGGGTCAGGAGTAACACACAGAGTTCAGGATCATTGTAAGTTATACACTGAGTGCAGGGGTCAGGAGTAACACACCGAGTCCAGGATCATTGTAAGTGATACACTGAATGCAGGGGTCAGGAGTAACACACAGAGTCCAGGATCATTGTAAGTGATACCCTGAATGCAGGGGTCAGGAGTAACACACAGAGTCCAGGATCATTGTAAGTGATACACTGAATGCAGGGGTCAGGAGTAACACACAGAGTCCAGGATCATTGTAAGTGATACACTGAATGCAGGGGTCAGGAGTAACACACCGAGTCCAGGATCATTGTAAGTGATACCCTGAATGCAGGGGTCAGGAGTAAGTACCTGAGGAATTAGTGGCTTTAGAAAGTTGAAAGTCCCTGTGACAGAATAACAATACAGGGACACAATGTGGAGACAGGGACTTTAGTCACAACGCAGACAATGTGCCTGGGTTTTTTCCCCTTTCCCATGTTGTGGTCAATAGAAAACCACATGATGGTGCAATGAGGGTGTTTTTGTTTTGTTTTGTTTTTTTTTTTTGCAAAATAAGCAAATACGTAAGAGAGCACTGCAAGGAAATGGCACCTTCATGAAGGCCTTGCTGTACGGGTCAGAGACACAAACTACTGCAGGGAAATCTTGCCTACATCTGTCTGAGAGATATCAGATGCTAACAGGGGATATGGCCCACAGGTGCTTCCCCAAAGCAAATGTTTCAATTCAGGGCGGCTTTGTTGCTTAGAGTGTTACTAAACCCACAACAGTGAAATCAGTCTGTATATGCAGTAAAGCATGCTTGTTATACTCACTGTGGAACCTAAGGGGTTAATCCTCTGCATTGTGTAAAAAGGCTGTTTGATCCTGTCTTCTCTGATCCTCCCCTTCTTCTACTGTCCCCAGTCCATCTGCTGATAGAACAGAGCCTTGGTGGCATGCTGCATATACTCAGTATGGTGTGTACTGCTAGAGAGGTTTTTTTTTCTTGGGAGAGTGCATGTGATCAGCACAGGGCCAATCAGCACTGTCCAAACAGAGGTCAGAGGTTATGCAGCCTCATTGGACAGTCAGAGGAGAATGAAAACTCCTCCTACAAGCGTTAACATGTGCTTTGCTGGACACTGATAGGAGTCACAAGCCTGCTATATACTGCAGATGAGAAGGTATTTAGCATTTTATATTTACTAAATAATTAAATTTCCATGTTCTGTGTACTCCATTCAACATGATTTCCTGTGGGACAGGTTCACATCTGCGTTTTCACTCGGTGCTTTTTTTGGAAGCGTCTGGGACTTATTTCAATGCAAAGAGTTGCGTTTTTGGTTCTATAGAATGCTGCAGAAAAGCATGCAGTGCGTTTTTGCTGCATTCTTGCCATGTTTTTGATGCGTTTTAAATCTGCCTAGCAACAAGAAAGAAACCACAAAACGCGTCAAAAACGTATGTGCAAAAATGCATCGCACAGCACACTGCAGAAACGGATCAAACGCAAACCGCATAGGTGTGAACTCAGCCTTAGGGCTTGTTCACAGCATTAGGTGTGTCTGAGCATGCGTGTTTATGCGCAATCCCAAGCGTTCGTATGCGGCAAGTTCAGGGCAATCCATTAACTTCAATAGGTTGCCAAATGCACAGGAGCTCGCAAAAAAGTACTTCAGGCATGATTTTTAAATTCGCGTCACACCAAACCACATGTTACTGCGGTACATCAGAACGCACATGTCTTTATTTAGGGCTGATTCACACCATAGAAATGCAGTCCAGATGCTTTCTGCATGCGTTTCTGTATGCGCGGTTTTGACGCGTTCTGGTGCGGTTTTTATGTGTTTTTAATGTGTTCCTGTTCATATTTTCCCCTCTCTTTCTCTTCAACAGGACATGTGCGTTCTGGTGCATTTTTGCTGCGTTTAGGTTTGTTCCAGTGCATTTTTGCTGCATTTTACTGCCTTCCGGTACAGTTCAGTGCAGAAAGTATGCGGCATGATCTACTTTTCTTTCTGGAACTGGAACACACTGGAACTGACTGCACTGGTGTGGACAATGACACTGGAAACCATATAACTTACTATCAATGCGTTTTTGATGCAGAAAAAAAAAACACATTGGAGTGCATGTGGTGCGAACTGGCCCTAAGGGTGAAGAAAAAAAGAGGGGGGAAATGCACCGGAATGCATCAAAAAGCACAAATGCACCTGGACCGCATTTTTATGGTGTAAACTGGCCCTTAAGGTGAAGGAAAAAATGCACTAGAATGCATCAAAAAGCATAAAAAATGTGCATACAGAAATGCATCTGGACTGCATTTTAGGACCAGTTCACACTAAATGCGTTTCAGTTGCATTTTTTCTGCACCTGAAATGCACAGAAAGTAGGTTATATGGATGTCACTGTCATAGTTCACATCAGTGCTTGCAGTTCCAGGGTGTTCCGAATGCAGAAAAAAAAGCGGAATATGCTGCATTTGTTCTTCACAAAAGTGTACTGGAATGTAGTAAAATGCATCAAAAATGCACTGGAACGCACCAAAAACACAATGGAATGTACATGTCCCTATTTAAATTGTAGAAAAAGAGAGGGGAAAATATTAACTGAAATGCATTATAAAACGCACTGGAACGCATCATAAATGCACCGGAACGCGCCACAAATGCAAGTGAAAAAACGCTTCCAGAACACATCTGGGCTGTGTTTCTATAGTGTGAACCGGCCCTTAAGGTGAAGAAAAAAAAGAGGATAAAACGTGCCAAAATTCATCAAAAACGCACTGGAACACATCTGGAATACATTCAGACTGCGCTAGTATGGTGTGAACTAGCCCTAAGGTGAAGAAAGAGAGGAATACATACACTAGAACGCATCAAAAAGGCACCAGAACGCATCTGGACGTGTGTTTCTATGGTGTGAACTGGCCCTTAGGACCAGTTCACACTATATGCCTTTCAGTTGCGTTTTTTCTGCATCCAAAACACACAGAAAGTAAGTAATACGGTTGTCAATGTCATAGTTCCCATAGTTTGCCGTTCCGGTGCGTTCTAGATGCAGAAAAAAAAGTAGAACAGGCTGCATTTTTTCTGCACAGAACTGTATTTGAACGTGGTAAAACACACAAAAAACACACTGGAACACACATGTCTCTATTTGAAATGGAAGAAAAAGAGATGAAAAAATTATTATTATACAGGATTTATATAGCGCCAACAGTTTGCTCAGCGCTT